TTGTTTCATATGCTTACAAAAGAAAAGGCCTATTAGTAATCCAATTCCATATTTTATTTGATCTACTAATAGGACACTAAACAAGTTTCGTTGCCCAGCAGTAGATCAATATGATTTTATTTGTCAAATTGTTTGACAGCAAAGTAATTATTTGGTGGTAAATTTTAAGTTAAGATTATTGTTTTAGAATCCGCTTAATAAACAATATGCAATGTTATAAAGAATGTCAATAGAAGTTGAAAAGTGGTAAAACGAGATTTGATCGATGCCTTTATTTTAATCTTTGTAGATGCATTTCCAATGCTTGCGTTTTTTCTGACTTCTTAGATATGATATTTCCATTGTAATTTTTGGTCAAAGATTATACCCAAAAAATTTTCCTTCTTTTCTGGTTTTATTTCTAACTATCTAAGCGAATGGATTTAAAATGTTTTACTTTGCATTTTTTTGTAAATAAAGAATTGGTTGTTTTTGCTGGATTTATTTTCAGCCCAACTGAATTGCACCATTCTTTTGTTAGTGTTAAACCTAAGTGGATCCTCTCGCACAGAGTATGTTCAAATTTTTCTCTGCAGATTATTACAACATCATCGGCGTAACCCTGAACCTAGAACCCATTCCTATCCAGTTTTACCAATAGATCATCTACTTCATACTCCACATTAGAAGTGATAATATTCCACTTGCAAAAACATTGCCAGTACTGCTTGAAATTTCTGCTCTCCTGGTGCGAAGCATGTTGGTCATCCAGTGTGAAAGTGTGTCATTGATATCTCTGAAGTATTATCAAAGGGTCCTTCAATGTCTAAGAAAGTGTAAGTTGCTATGCTGTCTTGTCTATGCTATCCTGAATCGTGTTATTTAGTTGGTGACGAAGCAGTCGTACCTTTTACTCTTCACCTTCGGTGAAACCTCCATCTTCTCGCTTGAGATTGGTGAAAGTAAGGCTACTGCCTTTTGAAAGCACCTTGTATAGCAAGGGAGGTATCCTTGTGCTTTTTATACTTTCGCAGAGTTTTCGGAAGCTTCAGCGTTTTGAGGACCTATTCTCTCTATTATACAGAGTAAGCTGTTACTTATATTCTGAATAATATCCTCTTTGTTTTGATTAGTTAAATAGTCCTCTGACAGTGTTTCTTAGATTTTTTAGGGCATTGCTCCACCAATGCACATTCTTGGTAGAATAAGTCGAGCTTAATTGAGAGAGCTATCCTCATATGCATATAATATAGCACCATTGAGGTTTTCTAGGTTATCTTCTAGTCCTAATTGAACAAAATTGCATATAGATTTTCCCTATAGGCTTTTTAATTTGTTGTTCTTGAATTTCTTCGCATGTTTTTGATAATCAATGTCGAACCTTTTTTTTTTTTTTTTTTTTTTGGTTGCGGCAAGGAGGAGTGGAATGCCTGCGCACTGACCACAATCCGGCGGCCTGGAAAGTGAGTGTCCGACTTGCACGGACTAAACCAACTCCCCCTCATTCCTAAAGACCTTGTCCTACCCCGGGACTACGTTAGTATTACTTCAAGGTAGGGTCTCTATTAGTCATCTAAGACTTCCATCGGTGTGACCTGCGTCCTGCATCTCCTTATCTCCTTATCAGCCCCGCATCTGCTGAAGGTGATTAACCTTATCCTTCGTCTTTGTGTGATTCATCTGTTTTACTCCAGCTGTCTTCTGTCAAGGTCTACTTTTTTCAATCTCAGGATCTTTTCAGCAAACATTTTTACGCGATCCCAGTTTGTTATGTTTTCGATCATTTTTCCCGATACCGTCCTGGGAGTGAAGGTACCAACTTGCATTGCAAGTGCTTCTCGTTCGGGCAACCACTTATTGCACTCAAAGAAAGTGTGTTCTGCGGTATCATCCTCCGCTCCGCAATATATGCAATTTGGTGACTCTACTTTGCGCATGCGATAGAGATAGCTGTTAAAGTATCCATGTCCCGACAGAAACTGAGTGAGGTAGTAGTTAACCTCGCCAAAGTCTCTTGCTAGCCAGGTTTTTAGATCTGGGATAAGCCTTGCAGTCCATCGTCCACGGTTATCTGAGTTCCAGCGTTGCTGCCATACTGCAATAGTTCTGCGTCTTACCAACTGCTTGCCGGTGTTGTTGTTTCCCATTCGTTTTGCCTGCCAACATGTTTTTCGCTCTTGAGCCTGTAGGTCAATAGGAATATTTCCAGTAATCACGAGAACCGCTGCTTCTGAAACGGTGCGATACGCTGAGCATATCCTCAGAGCTGCTGTTCGCTGCACTGACGCTAACGCTCTTCTTCGGTATTTTGCTTGTAGTGCGTCTGCCCATATTTCGCTTCCGTATAGAAGAATGGAATTTACCGTAGCCATGAGGAGCTGTCTTTTACTCTGTGTGGGTCCCCTTATGTTTGCCATAAGTCTGCTCAATGCTGCTGTAGCTTTTCCCGCTTTAGATGCCGCTTCCTCAATCTGAGCCCAGAATGTTAGTCTGGAATCCAGTCGAAGGCCTAAATATTTGACTGTTTTTTGCGACATTAAAGTTTTGTCGCATTCTCGCATTTCAACTTCTAGCTGTATATGCTTTCTTGTGAGAAAGATCAACTCTGTTTTCTCCGCGGCGAGTTTGAGTCCGTGATCCTCTAACCATTCCTGTGTTCGTATCATTACCATGGTTAGCTTTCGTTGCGCTTCTTCTATATTTCTTGCCTTTATCACTGCTGCAACATCATCTGCAAATGCCACCAGATGTGTATCCTCCGGCATTTCCAGCTCTAAGATGCCATTGTAATTATCATTCCACAGCTCAGGTCCGAGAACTGATCCTTGCGCTGCTCCTGATGTGATTTGTTTTTCTTTTGGTCCATCGTGAGTGTCGTAGACTAGCACGCGATTTTTCAAATAGCTATTATATCCATCAGGTAGCGTGGTACTCTAAACTTGTTTTCCAGTGTATTGAGAATATCAGCCCATCTTACACTATTGAACGCGTTTCGTACGTCAAGTGTTGCAAGCAAGACAATGTTTCTCGAATAGTGGTTACCAGTCTGTGCAGTCTTTACTGCCGTAATTATATCTTCTATTGCACCTAGCGTGCAGCGTCCTGTCCTGAAACCGTGCTGTCTCGGTGACAAGCCACCTGCTGATTCGATTGCTGTTGTAAGTCGAGGCTTGATCAGTCTTTCAAGGAGTTTTCCAGCGGTGTCGAGCATGCAGAGTGGTCGGTATGCTTCAGCACGTTCTGGGTCGCCTTTACCCTTACTAATTAAAGTTAGTTTCTGTTTCTTCCAAATTTCCGGAAAGTTGCCTTCCATTAAACAAGCATTGTACATTTTTAGTAGTACATGTGGTCGTTCATTAGCAATCACTTTTAGTATCTCAGCCGGTATTCCATCTGGCCCCGGAGCTTTATTATTTTTTAGCGCGCTAGCAGCTGCAAAAAGCTCTTGTAGAGTAAATATTGGCGGCATTTCTCTCAGGAGATCATCTGATCTGCTTGGGAGCACCTCATGTGTCGGGAATAATGTGTCAACTATTTCCTTCATTTTTTCGCTTCCTAGTGACGGGGTGGGTTGTCTGGCACCCAGCTTTTTAGTTACAATCTTGTATCCGGTGCCCCATGGATTGTTGTTTATATCTTCTCTTAGTTCTTCCCACTTCGCCTTTTTGCTTTGTTTTATGGCTTCTTTCAAATTTTTCTTAGCTATTTTAAACTCCACCTCCTCTATTTCAGCAGTACTTCTTCTCCGGGCTCTGGTCAGCTTTCGCCTGCACCTCCAGTATGCGGCTTCTCTGGTCCTCTGGTCCACCAGTATGCGGCTTTCTTTCGGGTTGATCTTCTCACTTTTGGCATGGAAACATTACAAGCTTGTAGAATGCTATTCATGGTGTATACTGTTAGTGTGGTCGAGTTTAGTAAGGGATCTCTATCTGCAACCCTGCTGTCTATAGCAGCAAGTAGAGATGGTACATCTAAACAGTCCACCCTCCATTTCCGCGTACCGCTAGGTTGGTAATCTGTTGCAGCGCTATCCCGCAGTGTAATCTTGAATTCAATATATTGGTGATCGCTGCCGGTATAATCCTCCAGCACTTTCCAGTCTCTGAGTGCTCCTGAAAACATATCCGACACAAGTGTTATATCTGGAGTTGTGGCTTCACATCTGGGTCTTCTGAATGTTGTAGCGAAACTTAAGTTTGCTACTGTAAGCCCCAATCTAGACACCATGTCAAGTACTCGTCGACCGCGTGAGTTTGTCGTCGTGGAACCCCATTCGATTGCTTTAGAGTTGAAGTCCCCTACAATAATTAGGGAGCCTCCGATTTCTCTAGCCTTATCTTCTATATTATGGAGTTTGTTTTCAAATTCACCAATAGTGTCATTGGGTGTTAGATAGCAGCTTATAACAGTGTAGTCATTTGTCCTCACCCATACAAAACCTTCCCCGCTTCCATTATTCACAGCGTTAAGTGTTCCTTTTGATGGCGTCCAGATAGCTGCAGTTCCAGTGTGGTCCTCATACCATCCTGTGCTACTACTTTTCTTGTATTGCTCGCTTATGATGACGACGTCGATTTTTCGTTCTAGAACTAATTGGGAGAGCAGAGCGTCAGCCGTCTTGCTCCTATGCATATTTGCTTGGAGTATTCTCATATTCTTTTGCTGGCTTCACATTTATGGGAACCCGGTATGTGGTCCACCTTGATGCATCCTTTACTTGCGCAAATGCAGCATTTTGGCGGCCTTGTGCACTCTTTCAGCTTGTGTCCACTTTCTCCGCATCGAATGCATAGGCCTTGACCTTTTCTGTCAGGTCCTTTGCAATTGTATTGAAGATGTCCTGTTTCAAAGCATCTGTAACAGCGTTCTACATCTTGCAAGAGTTTTATTCTGCATCTTACTAAGCCCATACGAATACGTTCCGTCTTTTGAAGTGTTTTAGCTGCTTGGCTTGATATGCATACATAGGCTCTCCGTTGTTCTCTGGTATTTGCACCAGAAATTTTTACATCCATTTGCTCCGTGGGTTCTTGGAGTGCAATTCTTACTGCCGCTCTTACCTCATCATCTGTTGTAAGGCTATCCAAGTCGCGGATTTCTATTTTTGCACGGGGTTTCAATTCAGTTACCTTTGCTACCTCTCCCATTGTTCCTTTTAATTCGGCATAAAAGTCGTTTTTTTTACCACCTTTTCCTAGTTCTAAAAGTACAGCCCCACTCTTAGTTTTACGTATGGACCGGATGGCCACCTCTTCATCATCTGGCTTTATCTTCGTAATGTCGAACCTTAGGATTCTATGATTAGACATAGATGGTTCACTGTATACTCTCGAGTATTTTCTACAGTAATATCTAGGAGCTCTTTGCGTGAGTTAGATACAAATGTTGGTGTATTGCCTACATTACATATTTCTCAAACAAAATTTATATAGCAATGAGGTTCCTGGACAGAAATTCTGAAAGATAGATAAAGTTGATTTTAATGTTCAATAAATTGCAGACTCTTGGTTTGTTACATCTTACATCACAAATTGTCTGTGTATCCAGAGTTCTAGGACCAGCACTACACTTAAGTTCGATTTGAGCGTCACCTTTTCAATAACTGCCGATGCAGCTTTTGCATAGTGGTTTATTTGGGCGATTTTAGTGCTGATGATAAAGTGGTTATTCCTTCCTTTTTTCTGTCAGATCATTGTCAATGTGTGACAGAAAGGTTCTGACGGAGTCGTCATTGGGCGTCAAGTTTAGTAGAGAGAGATCTAGGGTGTCAATGTCCTGACTCTCGTGAGGTAGCACACTGATATCCTTCATTTTTTTACTCCTAGTCACTTTCTCCTCCAATTGTTCTGCAACAGTTACAGTTACAGCTGGTGTTTTCCCTAGCCGTGTTACTCCTCTCATTGTTCCTTCGTCCCTTATGCAGGTGGACTGGGATGGAGCTGAATATCCTATAACCGTTGGTTTTGATGGCTTAGTTTGCATTATGACTAGTTTTAGCAGCTTTTCCGTGTTGACACCTTTGGCTCTTGGGAAATAGACTATCATCATGTGTATACCCAGTATATTATTCCCGATACATGTAATGAGCTCAACGCCTTCACATCCACTTACCTTAGGTGCGGCCTTGTGAATGAATTTGGCTGCTTCCTTGTCTACACAGTTAAATAGTGTGAGTCCTGACCGACTTATCTTGCTCGGCTCTCTAGAGGGTTTGAGTCCGAGCCGAACGTTAGTCCAGTGCTTGTCGAGGGTTGTGGTGGTTTGCCTCTTTTGGTGCAACTTTCGAGCCCACAGGCCTTTAACATTCTTTTCCTACCGGAATTCCCGTTATAGATTTAGTTAGCAAACAACTGGTTTTGTTGCTAGCTTCTTTGCTCTCAGTGCGTTTTTTTCAGCTTTGGACATCAGACCCCACCCGATTTGCCAGTTGAGTTGCAGTATGTGTTTCTGCTAGTTTTTTAAGTTATTTATTTTAAGATCCATATAGGTCCCACGAGTGTGGGGATAAAGAGGTCCGGCGTGTCACAGCTTGCGATAACATGGTAAACCCACAGTTACTAACTAAGGCAGGCAGATATCAGTGATGTGCGAGGTATTTTAGCGTCTCACCCTTGTTAGTTTCCGAAATGCCCCAAAGCGTATGCCTCGCATTGGCATCGCAACCAGTTAGCGGGAGAATGACTTTTGATGAGTTGCTGTGTACTAGCGTGACTACCTCTTCCGGAGGAGCATACCTATCATACGCCATGTAAACAGAAGCCACAATTAAATTAGGTTCGCCTGGTTATTCGATTTTCACAGCTATTAGATCATACTCACTCTACTGTGAACGTAGAAAGATTGTATCGAGAAAGAAGAATTTTTCCCGGTAAAAAAACGACTAGCAGCGAAAAGTTTACACAAAAAACACACGCTGTTTCTTAATGAGAATCTTGATCAAAACTGATCTTTTTTATTATATTAATTTGAACAGGGTTGCCAGTAAGACATACTTTTCATTATTCATTTTTTGTGTATGAAAGAGCATTGTTAGCCAACAAAGGCATTAAAACATTTCCTAGCTAGGATACATGATGGCTTATTATCTGCTTATTGTCTGCCGATTTTCCAGTAATGGCGGGAATAGGCGTAGTGCTGTTGCTACTACCTACATCATCTGCAATGTCAGTTGCCACTCGCACGAATTCTTGGCTTGATGACAGAAGCTCGTCTTCGAAACTGATGCCTAGTTCCTTATTTGTTTTATGAAATGTTATTTTATATAAAGAGTTTATTTATATTCCTACGACTCTAGGGGAGAGGACGGTCGTCCGAAACATTGCTCCCTGTACTTTGACAAGGCTAATTGAAACCGGAGGTCGCCAGGTATCTGGAGTTCATCGTTCTAAGACACACTCAAGCAGTACCATTCATTATTGGGCACGGTCATTCATTAATCAGAAACCTTGGTCCCCAGAAATCTAGTGAACCTTCAAATTTACCTTTACTCTAATTACATTCAAGCACACATATAAACAAAAAGACGCACATGTATACACATAGGTTATAGGACAACATGACTACTGGTAGTTCCTTGTTGTACTTACAAGCCGAACCGGCATCAGGCCTCCCGTCCACTGTCTGGATAATGAGCAAGGAACCCCTAATCAGCAAGCTTACCTGCAGCTAAGCCCCTACACCATGTCAAGGTGCCTACCATGTGTGCCCTAAAGAGCGTTAATGCTTCATAGTTTAATTTACGCAAAAACGAATTAGTAAAATCAGGAGCCTTTTTTAGTTTCATGTTTCTTATTTCATTTTTTATTTCCCTTGCGAAGTGGGTTGTATTGCTTCGTTTAATGCATTTAAGTTAGAAGTAGGAAGATTATTTCCATCATCATTTAGTGAGAATGTTGCCTTAAGAAATTTTGCGAATTAATTTGCTTTTTCTTCATCACTTTTGGCCCATGTTGTACCATCTGCTTTAATAAGAGGATTATGTTTTATAGGTTATTTTACTGCTTTCACGGCTTTTCACAGCGAGTAATCTGAGCGTTTTTCGTTTTTAACATTATTGATAAGTTTTCGTAGTTGTGCAGTTTTACTATTTAATTTCGTTTTATCAGTTGGTGATCGTGTTTGTTGCCATTTTTTGCGCAATTTCCTTTTTTCCCATATTAGTTTATCAATTTTTTTTTTGAAGGATTGGTCTAATCTCGTGTTAAGAGAACTAAAGAGTACTCATTCATGCTGATTTTTGAATCTGCTGGGTAAATAGAAGAACTTCGTTATCCGCTTCAGTCGCGGATTAAGAGTGCTTTGAACGTGCAGCCTAAAGTAATTCCATTCAGTAGATCTATTTATTAGATAAGGCTTCGGTTCATTTATGACTACACTTTTATTAATAGAGAAGTGCACTGGTGAATGATCAGAAGAGAGATCGTATCCATTTTCTATTTGTAAAAGTTCTCTCGGTATCATTTTAGTTATGAAAAAGTCAATCAGATTCGGTATTTTCGCTGGGTCAGTCGGCCAATATGTTGGGCTTCCAGTTGATAAGAGATC